AATTAGCCACATAAATTAAAATGAAATGATCTATTTAAAGATTTAGAATATTAAAACAATATCTGGACCTGTGCAAGTCTATGGAGACAGTGAATTAGCACTATATATATATGTACATATATAGCAGTGTGTAGAGATCACTATTATCATTGGCCCCTATGTATTTGTCACTATCACAACACAGGCACTTATATACAGCAATCATTACCCCGTACACGTTTTCTGCATGAAAATTTTGACATTTCATAATATAAAACTGCATGTGATCCCAGGTTTTTTCCCCTACTTAATTTTTCAATGAAAGCTATATACTAACTAGCTAGAGTTATGTGCCTGTTTCACATGCTTTCAACTCACGACTCCTAAAACACTTTCATTCATAAAATCATGGTGAGTTTCAGAATGACATCTAAAATATAATAAGCACTTAAGACTGTCATGGTTCTTATTTTTCCATGTAACATTATTACATGGTATCCATGCTTTTGAGAGGTTCTGTTCTCATACATGTTAACAATTTCATGTTGATCAAAGTTGAAATAAAAAAAAAAAATAAATGAAAATATGAATTGTTCTAGTAAAATGGAGTGCGATATAGACCTGTAAATCTACAGTATGTGGGATGCATCAACTGGGCTACAGCTAGACTATCGCCTCAGCAATCTGTGCGTAATAAAAATATCAACTCTGCTAAACATATAGCACATTTTTTATCAGCAGCTTTGCTGCAAAAAAAAGTGGATAAATGAGTGCTTATCTGTAGGTCTATACATCTCCAAGATAACCCGAGGAATACCCAGATGTAATCGCAAACTCCAGGACATGCCAGGGGGTTCAGTACACTGTAATTAAAAACAAATTGAATTTTATGTGTTGATTCAAAAGTCTGATCTATGGACTTGAGCAGATTAATGTTTAATGCTTAAGAACATATCTTTCTGTGATATAACCAAGATAATATCTGTGTCCCTTCCTCTAAACCTGATCATATTTCTGTGCTCAATTCCGCCATTTTTTTTCCCCTCCCAATTTTCCCAGGCACTAAAGGTGGAGTTTTCCACCAATCAGCTGTCGACCAAGTGTCTTTTACTGCTATTTGAAATGGTCTCAAAAGCTGACAGCAAATGCTAGTAAACTGTGGTTGAGAAACACTAACTCGAACAAGGCTAACATCAGACATATAGTTAGTCTATCTTTTAGAGATTTCAACTCTTGGCCAACTTCAAAAGATTGGTAATTTTGATAACCTGATTAGCACACTTCTAAATATTCCTAAATCTGCACATATAATTAGCACACCTCTAGAGATTTCCAATTTTAGATAAGTTGGCAGTGTATCTACAGAAATGTCTAGTTCCTCAAATGCAGTCACTTTATCTCTGAAGATTACCATACACATGCAATTAGCATACCTCTAGAACTTTGTAATACTACACATGCAATTAGCAAAAACATTATCTAAAAATTTCCAGTGCTATTTTTGCAAAATAATTTGTCTTCAGAGATTTCTAATTATACATACATAATTAGCATACCTCTAAATATAATTTATTAACTGCATAAATTAGCATACCTCTAATGGTATCTATACACGTGTGTAATTAGCACATCTCAGAAAATGCCTAATTATATGCATGTAATTAGTATATTTCTGAAGATTTCTATACACATAGGCATTTAGCACAACTTAAAAAATATCTAATGATATGCATAAAATTAGTATACCTCTAGAGATTTCTACACACGTGTAATTAGCACAACTTAAAAAATATCTAATGATATGCATAAAATTAGTATACCTCTAGAGATTTCTCTTTGTATGCAATTAGCATAAACCTAGACAAATCCTAATGTTATTCATATTCTACACTCCCTTGTATACATATAAATATTGGTCTGCATGTCCATACAATTAGAAGTTGTAAAACACCTTGTAAGTCTGTGTAGGAGGACAACACACATCCCATTGTTAGCTTTGCACAGTTAGGAAGATGATAGATGGAGTTCAGCGAGTATCAGAAGTATCAAGTGTTGAGAAAAGTTAATTTATCAAAATCTTGCATCTAAATGGACCAGTGTTATTGCCATAAGGTTGGACTGGTTCATCAAAGGCAATTTCAAAAGTGATCAACGTTACATAAGTTCCAATACAGGGAGCCAGAAACTGAAAAAAGATCATCTTAACCCTGTTCGTGAAAGGGTCTCATTGCAGCCACTGTTGCCATTAAGGGCGGGATGGAGATATCAGTTTAGTAGGAAAAGTGTTAGAGTTGGATGCAACCATCTATTAGTTAATAGGAACAACAGTTAAACAGAATAGACTAACGATCACTATTGGACAAAACATCTGGTTGAACAGTCACCAAAGTAATGTTACACTGAGAAAGTCTATCTGAATGCACCAAACAGCTGACTAATATTGTGGACATCCGCAGGATTTGTTAGAAGTGGTGATTCCTCTTCCATGCTGTGTTAATATTTCCCAGCATCCCATTGACAAATACCCTTAATTACTACTAAGTCTGCCCTCCCCTAGATATTGCCATGTAATTACATCAACACTGGTTACAGCTGTGGGGGTACAAACTTTTTATACAGTCTGCAGATGTTCACTATCATACACCAATTTATGTTAATTGTGTTGATCAAATCTACATGCTTTCAAGACACTATTGCTTGGTCTTTTTATCTAATTAATACTTGTTTGATGTATAAACTGTCTAAACCATTTGTGCGGGTCCTTCTGGCACAGACCTCCCTTATAAACCAGCTTTAACTTTTGTTCTGGTAAGTGGTTAAACAGTGCCAGAATGGACTGTATATAACACATATATAATGTGTATAATAGATTTATTCATATAACTTATCTCATACCATTATGTCTCTGTATTTCTTAGTAAATGTTAAGATTTCATTGACGTCAGAAATATGGACTTGTCGGAAAAGTTCTACAATGACTTGGCTGGTTCGTATCAAATTATTCACATTTGGTGTTTTCTCTTTAAAATTTCACGGCCGATTTTGAGAATTTTTCTATTTTCCGCAGGATTTACCAGTAAGTTTCTACATCTGAAATGGACATGTATACTGCTAAAATAGACTACCCCACTGAATGAAACAATATTCGAGCACAGTTGAAGGACAATGCTTCTACAATAGAGCTGTGATCTCAAACTATCTGGCAATATACTGTCAACTAAAAAGTATTCTGATGAATATTGTAGAAATGAGAGTGTGCTAATAAGAAGAGATATCCAACAATATCCTTTAGTTTTCAGCGTACAATATCACCTTTTTACAAACTAGGAAGAAATTCATCAAAAACAAAATTTAAGATGTCATTTATATATCTTTACCCATATCAAGTTTGAACTGGTTACCGTGGTGATATCTTTTGTTCTAATGCTGTATGATGTTTATGTTTGACCTTACAATGAGTTCTGTCAAGGGTTTCCCCCAATCTTCCTACATCTCCAAGGACCCCCAGCATTGACTTGCTCCCTCCATTCTCTTATCACACTAGTGTGCATGGCAGGATCGAGAGACCGCAGAACTGACAAATGGAGTCTGACAGCAATATACAGTCATGATCATCAAAATGTTTGAAATGGTGACAGCTTACTGATTTATACTGGATTCAGGATTTAATAAAACAGAAAGTCAATATAGCTATGTTACAATGAATAAAACAGTATTCTCTGAAATACAACTGTCAGAAAATATGATTTTAACTCACACAAAAAAAATCTACAAATGATAAACAAACACATTCTTTAGAAATGCTATTCCAGTCAGGATGTACACAGTATCTCTGTGTTACCTTGGATACAGATATGACTGCACTGAACAGGTAGTATCACTAGATTGTAAATCTCTAACTACCCAATTCAATTTTAACCAATAGACTCCTCTTCAGAAACTGTCACCATCATCACATGACACAGAAATGTGCTTATTTTCTGTAATCTTAATTATTACAGCTTTTCATCTCACATTGGTGACACTCTACACAAAGGGCATAAAATTCTCCATAGGATTAAGATGGTCTCATCTGTCGAGAATTATAGAGTAAATTTGCCAAAAGAAAAATCGCACAAACGTTCGTTAGTGGAATAGTTTACACTTCTTTTCCTCATAAACAAACAAACAAACACAAACAAACAAACATTTGAGACAAAAACATAATCAGGGAAAGACAATTGTGACAGTATTCATGTATGTATTAAGGTGGGTATATCAACATTCTGCTGAAGTATGCTCAGCCAGCAGACTGGTTAAAGGGTGAGAAAGGCGAGAACAAGTTTTCTGCTCTGATGGGTGTGGGCTTTTTTGACAGTGTGAATAACATGAAGGAAGACATGCAGTTACCATGGTTACATTACAATTTCTGCTGCCTTTTTTTCTTAATCATCAACATTATAGATAAATATTCTAAGAACTAGTTACTTGGTTCAATCTAAAACACTGTAGAACTAAAACTAAACCAGAAATCCAATCCTTATCAATATTGCAGGGATACAATTTTGAAAGGAAAAGTTTGTGTTCTTTGAACGAGCTGTAGATGAAATTAGAACCCATACAAAAAGACGATACAAGTCGCTGATCACTGTCAGCCTTTGTTACATCCTGACATATATCACAGTATTACAATATCACTAGAAACAATTCATTAAAAGCATTACTAACTTTGATCAAATGTCAAGTCAAAAATTTGAAGAAAAAAAAATAAGAAAAAAAAAAAAACACAATAGCACATTTAGTGATCAAAAAAGCTTATAAATATCATTGTGTACTTAATTCGTCAGTATCAACATCTCCATCTTCAAAAATGAGACAAACGTATTTTGTTTTCAGAGCTTTGTGTAGTGGATTTTACATGAGAAAATTCCAAAAATAAGAAAATGCTATACATTAAATTCTGAGTAGTTATAGTAGGTTGCTTTTGAATTTTTATTAAAGATCTGAAGAAAATCACATGTCCAGATCATAAACATGTCCCTGGTCCCTTAAATGACATCAAAATTTTCCATGTCAAATGTTTTAACAAAAGATTCCCGATCAAAGTTTTTTTTTCCACTACAAAGACACTAAAAATACACATTTCGGACATAGTGGCCTTTTTGTTTGTTAATGTATCACATAATAATATCAGAGCTATAATCCTACACATGGTAATGATCAGCATGATTGTTAAATTAAGAATGTACTGGCAGTCCTTTTCAGTTAGTAAAACCTGAGCTATACCAATGGAAGTCTTTAACTGTGTGAACATCAGTCTACTGATTTCCTCAGAAAAGTATATCACACTTTCTTCCAGTTTTTGTTCATAGTTTACAGATCATACTTAAATCACATATTCTCTCATAGTCTCCATCTTTGCAAATTTGTATATTTCAAATAAATCACAAAGTTGTTTTTTCTCCACCGAATTCAGTTTGACGAAACGGTCACACTTTTTCGCGAATTTTTTTCTTTTGTAATTCGTCATGCATGACCTTGATTGAGCTGTACAAGGTTGGGAATGGCGGCCGATGCATTGGTTTGCGACTCCAGCAGAGCCGCATCAAGTCATACACCTGCTTTGGCGTGTTCTCAGGACACGCTAACATCTTACCATCCTTTATAAACTTGATGACTTCTTCGTGTGTCATGCCATAGTATGGCTGCAGGGCAAAGGAGAATATCTCCCAAATGAGAACACCAAATGACCAGACATCAGACTCCGCTGTAAATTTGTTGTAGAGAATCGACTCAAGTGGCATCCAACGAATTGGGATTGCATCGTGTTCACTACCTTTATAATAGTCAATTGTGTGCACACTGCGTGCCAAACCAAAATCAGCGATTTTTACGGTCAGATTTTCTCCAACAAGACAATTCCTTGTTGCTAAGTCACGATGGACATATCCTCTCTCAGAGAGGTAAACCATACCTGCAGCTATCTGCATTGAAATGTACAGCTGGTCAACATTGTCTAGCAGTGGTAACTCCTCATACACATTCACAGCAGGACGCATCACAATATAGTGCTCCGGACTGGAACGTCTTAAATACTCATTCAAATCCCATTTTGTCATGTACTCAAACAACAAACACATGGGTTTTCCGATTGCACATACTCCCAACAATTTGACGATGTTTGGATGCTTAAACTCCGCCATTAAGGAAGCCTCGCGACTAAAGTCTTGCAACAGATCGTCTGAAGCATCATCCTTCAGCATCTTTACTGCGATGATTGTCTCCTCACCATCTTTTGACAGATTCGGTGCTTTTGCTTTGAAAACACGCCCAAAAGCTCCCTGTCCAATATCTTTGATGTATACAATATCGTTCCTGGGATATTCCAGACCCTCCAGCTTCGGGCTAAGTTTGAGTGTTTCCGACACCTTATGGTACGAGATATTGGGTGTCAGTTTGTCAATGTCAATGTCAAGGTCATCAGTAGGAGTGCTGTTATATCTGACCTGCTGCTTACGCTGACTAACAATTTGGTAACACAGCACAATGATTAGACCAATCACAAACACACCTACTGATGTTACTATGGTAACTATCAATATGGCCACCAAAGTAAAGCGAGGCTGTTCCTCTGTTTCCCTGTCATCCTGAGGTGCAGGGTCAGCTGTAAGAAAAAAGGCAACATGTCAGAGCCAAAACAACAACTTAATGATTCTAATACAGCAACAAAATGATTGTAGTCAGCATTTTCACCCGCTTTAATGAATAATATTTTTACAAAAACAACAAACCAGTTATCAACAAGGATAAATTTGCTATATTACTTACCACACTTTGGGATATCACATGATTCCCAGCGTGAATGTTTCTCCATCGTGTAACACCAGGGGGAGTTTTCCTCTGCCCCAGGGTTTCGACAATAGTTTTCAGAATTCTGAAGGGTGGGAAAGACCGAGGGTGGTCGTTGGTGAGTGTGAGGAAAGTTGGATGCCCACGCCTGACACGCCTTGCCGGACCTAGTCACATTGAGTGTGCCATTATACCACTGTCCTCGACCTTTGTAGCATGTACCTGTAACATAAAACATTTGAAATAAAGTCTAGTAAAGTTAGTTTGATGCTTCAAATGAAAATACTTCAATAGATTTTTAAAAAAACCACTTAAATAGATTTAAAAAAAAAACACTTAAATATATTTTTTAAAAAAAAGTCTGCATGATATAATAAAGTAAGGCCTAGTAATCTAAAGAAGTTTGATGCTTCAAGTGAAAATACTCAAAGCAAATTTTTTTTTTAAAATGTTTTCATAATATCTAATTCAGAGGTAAACCTAATACAATATATAGGTAATATAACCTAAAACTAATACTTCCTTTTCCCTTAACACGTTTTATCTCCAGAGATATATGACCACATTGCCTGTAATAATATACTACATATTTTATGATATGCTATATGGATGATACCTAATGGTAAAGGGCAGATAACTCTGATAATAGATATATTGTGTGGTTTATACACCAAGATGTCATTATCACGACACAAAGAAATAATCATGGGTTTTAATGTCTTTTTCTTCTCTGTGACTGAGGTCACACGTACAGAAATGAAATCATTCAAATTATAGTAATGCTTTGTATTCCTGTTTCATGGTCCTATATCTTCATAAATCATACATCTATTTATCCATTTACAACTACTTCACAATGTTAGAAAAAAATAACATTACACCTTGTAAATGTAGACTTGATTACACCTTGTATGAAACCTGAAACCTTTATAGTTATATAAATGTTGATATATATATATATATATATATATATATATATATATGCTGTATATCTATTGTGAAATACATTTCAAATTGGTACAATTTACAGCGGGCGAACCATCAGCACTGAGAACCACCCACACAGAAACTTTTTACACATAAATCCCTTGTCAAAACTCAGGATCTCGCTAAACAGGATCCAAGGTAATATCTTACCCAAAGAACAGAGGTTTATGGTAGTTAAAATGAAATACAGATATGAAATGCATTTAAATTTCATTATGTACATGTCTTCATTTCCTCAGACTCCTTATCCAAGCACCTTATAAGCTACCCTATCCATGTAAGGTATACATTTTTTCTCATTAAATGCTCTTACAAGTTTAAATCTTGTGTCGAGAAGAAGGCCAGATTAAATACATCAAAATCAGGACTTGGGCAGAAATCTGTGCCACACCTCATTTATCAGGTTAAGGGAGATTAGACAATGGAAGGTAATTTGATACAGAAATCTTGCCAGATATAAGTGAAATGCGATGATGGTGAGTCATTTCTCTAATTCCTGTAGACACGCAACACTTTCTAACATTATAAAATATTATTCATGGAGATTTAAAGTCCTGTAAGGATTTATACACTAAACAATAATATCTCTTGGCTAAAGAGAACTTCTGTACTCAATCTGTCAACTGTAAGCTAAGAAAGCCCGAGGTCCTGGGTTTAATCCCAAATGGAGGTATAATCTCTCTTACATAACACTCTGTACCATTCTCTCAGGTAATGATAATGGCTTAACTTACTTGTCACATCCTCATCTTTCCTCACAAAAAGTTGAGAGTCGACACAGGATGCATTCACACCAATCTTAGTAGGCAGTTCCTCACATTCCGGTAAAGAGTATCGCAGATTTTCTTTGTTCATTACCAGCAGCCACTGGTCAAAACACAGCAATTCTTTTACTCCCAAACAGCTCTCCCTGTAAAGCAAAACACATATTTAGACAAGCAAAAACCTTTATTTTTGTCTTCTTTCCTTTTTTTTTTTTTATTTTCCTTTGCCCTTGAAATAATGAAATATTCCAATTAAGTATTTAATTCTTTAAAAAAACTTTTAAATCGCTGTAGTTAAATTTTCATCAAGGTAAGCATTCATGTATGAGTAGTTTCCCCTTAGCCAACAGGTAAAAACTGAATTCCTTTGTGTGGTCCCATATATCCACTCAGATGAGAACTATAAGCCCAAACATGTTTACAAACAACCTGTCACCTGATATCTTAACTACAAAAAACATTTTTAGGTTTTCAGTATGACATTAAATGCAATTATGTTATTTATACCGACAAGACAAAATCAGTCAGGATCAATGACATCATAGGTCATCGAGGTATGTTCCTGCTAATCTTTATATTTGTCACCACATCAGACTCACTTAATCTGCCTGACCAAGTGGAAATGACAGGTAATCACACATACACTCACATCAGCCATAGGTGTAAACATTGAAAACAAAGACCTAACTGATGTGTACGTGGTGTTGATAAAGGCTTGTACTGTCTGTACCGAGGGCATGTCACTCCGTGTATCCTTCAATCATAATTGCCTTCAAATACAATGTACTGTACATCACAATTCAACCAGCACATATTTAAAGTTCTTCAACTTAAACAAACAACATGATGGACACAGACTTTATCCATAAACCCTATTTAAACAATGATTTTTTTTAATATAATTATGGAAAATTGTAAAAGACTGTAAACATTGAGTCACAGCAAGGTTAACACAATACATGTCAGCATTCTATATAAAGAAAAGTAACCCTAGGTTAAATTGGTTGCAAAATCATCCTAGGTCAGTTTATAGCAAGGTCATCCTTAGTCAAACTATTTACCTTATACAAAGCATAGTCACCCTAGGCAAGTGTGGCTTATAGTATTTAACAAGGTTACTCACTCCTAGTCAAACTAATCACCATTACAGAGTAAGGTTACCTTAGTTAAGAGGGACAGACTTCTACAGTTCAGAGTTTTATATACAGCAAGGTCATTCAAGGTCAAGGTCAGACTTTCTATGCATTTAAGAGATCATCTCACATCAGAGTAAGGTACAGACTAGAACATGTTAATATTAAGAGTGTCATATTTTCTCTACAAAGCGAGGACATGTTCAGTCTAAATATCAAACTTTGAACATAGAAGTGAAGGTCTCCCAAGGTCAGACTGACAAACTTTCATCACTGCGGGATCACATACTGGTAAAGTCGAAGTCGGAGACTTTCTACACAGCAAGTTCACTCGAGGTCAGAATTTCAAATTAGTGGAAGTCAAGGGTTAGACATTATTTGAGACTTTCTTTTGAGTATGGTCACCCTAAGTCAGGGTAACAGACTTTTACACAGCAGGGTACGTGTAATCCAAGGTCAGGGTAACCAAGTGACTGGCCATTCCTCATGATATATGATGGTAGATAAGGGAGAGATTAGGTAAACATGGGGTAACACTAACACCTGTATGTCAGTAAGACCTATAAAACATTGTAACTCTTATCTGTAAACTTGAATACATAATTAACTACATCTGTCAGTGTATTCAAAGTTGCTATCAAATAAGGACCCCCACTTTAACCATGTTTAAACAACTTTAAAGGAATTATGATCTTTACTAATGCAACTCATTCAGAAATACCATCTCTTTAACTATCTATAATATCCCTCACAAAAGAAAATGGTATTATTATGTAATTAGTAGCCATGATTTAGGGAGAGATCTTAGTTCCTAGCTAGGTTACCATCTCACAAATCAGAGACCTGTCAGAGCCAGTCTGGCTTACATGACACTTGTCTGGTGTGCTTGATTTAATCTTTATAACAATTTTAAATAATTAATTTAAAGAGGTTCCTTATCTTGGTAATAACAAATATGGTTATCAAACTACAACCTTTTACTGGCTTACAAATTACATTTTGGAATTAAATGTTCCATAAATGAGAGAAAAAAGATGAAATTTGAGATCATTATATAAAAATATCTATAATGTATGGACTGGTTCCAACTTGGGAGATTTGGGGTTAAACAGTACAATATTTAATGAATAGCCCACCTTATCTTGAACTTTAAACAGTCTTTTGTAGCATATTACTGTGGCAATATATGTACTAGAATCATATGCCCATGATAAAAGATTCTACAACCAAACGACTATAAGACCAACACTGACAGGGTGTTAATGACCAGTGGCTATGTGTCCTTATGACCCTAAATCTAAATAGTTTCTGTATATTTTTGTTGTGAAGAATCCTGAGGGATTTCTGACTGTGACTAAACATAAACCAGTCACTGTTAAAGTCAACATCTGCAATGAAAACCAAAATAATTTTGACATATTCTAAACAAATATCTGAAACAAGTTTACTCCTTGATCAGATAACAGTCTGATTAGGGTAAGTAACAGTCCCAGACCAGATGTGTGAAACTAGCTCCAGCTACTTTGGCCTTTCCAACTGTTTTGCTATCCTATATTAAATGTTATGGTAGACTATCACCAGCTTCACCATATTCCTGATGTTAATCTCACAACTATCATCATGCAAACCTGATTCCTGATAGGAATCTAGAACACTGGTCATCCCTCCACTGGCGTAGATGGTGTTGGCGGGTTTTGGTTTGTGTAAGGGTGTTTTGGATCGGAAGCATGGCGTTTTTCGGTCCTTCCCTATCAGACCATACAACTGGGTAATATAACATTGCACCTCCCCTCCACTCCTCCATCAGACAAGCATGCCCCTGGATGTCAGAACCTTACACCCCTATCACAATGACTCTGTCCTATCTCCTCACCACACATGGCTGCTGTGATGTCAGGGTGATTTACTTATGTAAATCCATGTACCAGCAATGTGTTTTACAGGAACCCAACTACTACAGTTTTTGTATTTTTTTTCTTCAATAAGAAAAAATATCTAAGATAGCATTGCACAAAGATCCTTATGGACAAAGACAGACTGAAATTACTACCAAGCATGGCTACACCATTTATAGTAGAAACCAGTAGACTGGTAATCAATGCTGGACAAATTGGAAAAAAAATACATACTTTTATTACGAGTAATCATAACACATAAGTACCTGTATAGATAGGACAGTACCACCATTAGTTGTTACTGTAACTTGTAAGTACCTGTATAGATAGGACAGTACCATCATTAGTTGTTACTGTAACTTGTAACTACCTGTATAGATAGGACAGTACCACCATTAGCTGTTACTGTAACATGTCACTACCTGTACAGACATACAGCACCACCATCAATCTTCTCGGTGCAGACAACCTAACTGTTATTGTATAAATGACAAGTGAGCAACTCTCAAGTGTATCAATCCCAAAATACACCTGTACAGGTGTTCATCGATATAACACACCTGGATTGTTGAAAACTTTAACAGGTCAATTATTTTGATGTCAATGTAATATATGGAGTACAACATGCACACACTTTCGGCCAAACACCTAACATCCTTATCAGAATAAACAAAGGAAGATTGGTCAAGTGTTTGCCTGGCACACCTCCTTGGGTCAGAGTTTTCAGAATCAACCTCTCACTAAAAAGTCAATATTTTGCACCCGATAAGGATTACCTGAGCTGGCATGTCCCTTGTACTCTTACAAAATACACTTAAGAAGTTGCCCCTTGTGTTCTTATAAATAGTCTTAATGGGTCTATTCTAATTTACACAAATAGTTCTACTTGTGGTTATAAATTGGTATTTGACATTTTTTGATAAGGAAATGACAAAATTTGTCAGGAAATAGGATACATATTTGAAGCTTTTTGGCCCCACCTTTCGGTTTTAATCTGATATGACTTCAAACATGCACAAATACTGATCTTATTATGTTTAATTTGACATGCATATCAGTATTTTATAATCTTGTGAATCAATATCTGAAAACATTAGGATTACTGTATGTTATAACTTTATAATTTTCATGAGTTTTCATTTCACAAGTCTCACCAGGCATGTTAAATGCGAAAGAAAACTTTGAAATGAGCAAGACTAAATGACAAAATGTCGTTTTAATTTAATCATATGTAATGCAAGCAGAAAAACGTGTCAAAATATGATTATATTACTGATATAACATTGATAGAATTACCAAACCTTGCCCCACTTTAAATCATCAAAGAGTACGGAAACACTTTGTACTGGAATCATACTTTCAATTAAAGAAGTTTTCACACATACACACTCATCAACTACAATTTTCACTTACAATATTACCGCAGCAATTTAAAAGAAATCTACTCTGCATCCTTTAATTGTAAACAGATCTGCCTGCTTAACTACCATGTCAACAGGAACCAATTTCCCGCCATTTCTGTCAACAGTGATGGAGTGAGGGCATCCATTTACTGGTGTCAAGGTCTCAATATTGGCACTACCCTGTTGTTTTATAATTAACTCAGATTTCAACTGGAACAAATAGTTCCATCAAAACACACATGTCATTCTTCTAGTGGTGTAGTGTACTTTTGAAGTAATATTTCCCAAATATTTTGCTATATCCATTACTGAAAACTGCACTACCTCTGTCAACTTCCAACTTCACAAAACAGCTGATCATTCACGAAACAGGGGAAAATTTTAAGGAAGAGCTTGTGTGATCATTTCTTATCATACTTTCCATTGCTTGCTCATTGAAAAGAAACAGAATTTATTTCCTATTTTCATTTTTAGATTTAATCATGATTAAAAACTACACTTTGTCAATACTGGGTTACATGTCTGAATCTACAGACATTCCTGTATAACGACTTTGACAATGGAATGGGCTTACAAAAGACTTTACACTAGACACAGGTGGTCTCAATATCAGACAAGGTAGGAGCAGGTCATCCTACTTCCCCTTTTCAAAGCTTGTGCTCCTTTAAGTCTGAAGATCCCTATCGGGATAAATCAACACTTTCATCCCTACCAGCTTTAATCACAGCACAAGTTTTTCGAAAACTTTCACAAAGATAATGTAATTTTGAGCAAGGTTCAAAACTTATCAAATTTCAAAACTCCCTTACTTAATGTATTTGATACTACAAGAGAGAACGGTGCAATAAAAATACATTTATTGAGAACCCAATGTCATCTAATTCCATGGCAACACATTTTAAAATTCATGGTTGCTTTTAAGTTTCGTTTTCATTGATTCCAAGTCAAAGAGATGCTATGCAGATAAAACACCTATCTGATAGAGACTGTCTAAAAACAGCTTGATCACCCTGTTTTCTTTTCTTCTTTTTGTTATGTTTACCATAAATCACAGCACAATTCACAGTGAGGGTATCACACTGATCTGTGTAGTAGGAAGGTCGTAATATGTCACAATGACCTAATGTGTTCTGTTGTATAAAAACATCGCTACCCTAGTGTGAAGCCATACCATACAAATTCTCTTAAAAAAATTTATTTACATAAAACCATGACAATACACAAGATAAAATGCAACATCACAAAATCATAACATTACCAAAATTATACGTCTCTTGTCCCAATATGACACAGATAATGACTACACAAGGAGGCTATTGTACAAGGGCAACATCACATGTTCCAGATTTAACATCAGAAATGGAACATAAAAACCAACATTATGGCCAGTAAGTTCTATACAGGTAGGAGAGTATTAACCATGATAAATGAGAAGAAAGTTGGTGTCTCATCCTGCTACACTCTGATGTACAAACACTGATATGTACAACAACCACTGGAGACATTTTTATGACCTGTTTTGAGAAATAAAAAGAATCGTTTGAATGATTCTACCAAATGGAACACGCACATAAAATCATTACAGCCCTTTGAAAGGACATGCAGGTTCAAGGATGAAAACAAGTTCAACAGAAATGATAAGTTTTCATGTCTAATTAAACTGTCTTGAAGCTGTCAACACTACAAATATGGAGCGTATTGGTGGTTTCTTTTGAAATCTAAGACCCACATCATTGACAAGAAAGCTGTTAAACACAAAACCCTACAGTATTTGTAGAAAAGTTATGATAACATCTTTGGCCTTCTAAATCTAGGGTAATTTTAACAGTATGTCAAACTACTAAGGGGGAGTTTTAAATCTTGAGAGTCTTGCTTTAATTAAGATCTATAGCCTTGAAAGATAAACTTGTTTGAAATTCACGGGAAACGCCCATGTGTTGTTTACCAGTATCTTTCTGGTGCATGTATACTATATTACATAACTATTTCCATATCATCTTGTTTTTACTGCATTCCTGGGAAATTTAAATGAACAAAAAAGATTTCTATAACAACAACAGACAGATAACCCTAATAATTTTGTTTCATACAGTATTTGCTTATTAATGCCTTTTTTTACCTTAAACAGAACAAATATGCAAGATCCAACACATCTCAGAGGGACAATGACTCAAAAGGTCTGATAAGGACAATGACTCAAAAGGTCTGATAAGGACAATGACTTAAATGGTCTGATTAGGACAATGACTTAAATGGTCTGATTAGGACAATGACTTAAATGGTCTGATTAGGAAAATGACTCAAAAGGTCTGATAAGGACAATGACTTGAAAATTCTGATTAGGACAATGACTTAAATGGTTGGTGAGGGGCAAAAGTCCAAAAGGTCTTGAAAGGATGATGGACCAATAGGTCTAAGAGGAAATGACAGAAGTCAGCTGTGAATCACAGTTTGTTTCGCGAATACAAGGAAGTACTTATGTCAATAAATTTGTACGGTCATTCCTTCAGACAAACAATGATATATCAAAGCTAAACCCAGCATGCTGAATCGTCAGACTGTATCACAGCTGCTCACCGATGTCTACTGGTAATATTAAGCAAGGAAAGATGTCATATTTCATCCCCAGTGTTGACATTTATTGTTGTTTAGTTGTAAGTGGTTATAAATCCAAGTGCATACTGAAAATGACAAGTTTTGACATCTGACCAATCACAACCTTTGTTGTACTGTGATCACTCATTGTTCATGTGGCCTTGTGTCATTAGACTTATCGTTATCAATCTTCATCATGCTTCTGTTGAATTCCTCAGATATTTGAAGCATGAATCAAATCCCTTGTAAAGCTCCCAGGTAGGTGGTGCTTTCTTTCTCTACATTATGATAAAGAATTAACAATGGTCATTGCATCAGCAATGGTCATCCATCACTCCTTACACTGACTGTCCAATCAAAAATTACTCTTCATATAAAACGAACCAATCGGAGGACACGCATACATAATTGTAACATGAAGAATCATCATACCAAAATATTTCTGTTCAGGAAAGTCTATTAATCTCAGACAGATCTGTTGAAAGGTGAGAGAAGAGACCTGCAGACAAGATAGCAATGCTAGCAAAACCCCAATGTGATAATTCCATTAAGATTAAAGAATTGAAATCTAGCGATTAATTGCAAGATTCACAGAGATTGGTCAAAACTGGAAGTAGATTTCCAAAAGGGCAACACCATGAAAAATATATCTGGTTAAAAAATTTGAGAGGTTGATAAATTAAAAAAACGTTACCTGCAAACTTTTTTAGGTGTTGGCACTTGTCCTGGTTCCTCTGCTTCAATGCACTCTGGGAAATGGTACTGACATAACATTTTCTGTGCTGCCTCATGACAGCGATTCTCTGTGGACGGGGCATGTGATGTGGTCAGATCATGGAGAAGTGTGTGTACCCGATCCTCCAGATCATGGATAGATTGCTTGATATAGACATGTCGCGATCCCAGGACAGCAGCACAGGCACTGCCATTGTAGGGTAGACATTGTGGAGTTTGACTGAAACACACAAACACAAATTTTCAAATTACTTCTTTTAATAAAATTTAAGTCTTTGTGGATGCAAAGTTAAATAAAATACGTCTTGTCACTTTATCTACCTGATACAAGAAGGAAATTTACCTACAGCTGTTAACTATTATGAATTATCTAAAGGTACTGTGTCAATAACGTTAGTGACATTAGCCTGTGTTACTGGTGACTTCACAAAATCAAATTAGGCCTCTAAGTAGCTTTGCACCTGTTACGTGCAGAAGTGTACATGGTCGATTTTCAACAGAATATTGTAGGTCAAGTTAGCACATTTTCTATATTAACACTTGATTATTGACTTCAAAGAAAAAATCTACATAATTGTAATTTTCAATAAATCTTAAATTGTCATATGTGACATTTACTTAAATTTTCTTGTGACATAAGTGATGTATCTGATATTAATTACGCCCATATGTTGTGTATCTGTCCGTAACAGGTCTGCGATATGTAACGATAAATAAAACGCTTTACAAAAGATAAGGAATATGTTAATGTACAAGTCTCTCAAGTGAGTGTAGGTGTCCTTAAATGTGTTTACACAGAATGATTTACACAAGATTTCAGTCATATCTTGCTAAGTTAACCCACATATTCAGATAAGAAAAATAAATGAACACACACATCTACATCAAAAAGAATATTTATAACGAGTGTGGCTGAATTTGCATAAAAAATCGTAAATCTTACTAATGAAGAAAACTTTAACATCCATAAACTTTCCCTTACATGTCCGTCATAATAACCTCACTATAATCAGCAGTTAATTACTGTTCTGCAACATATACAAAACTAATTCCCTTTGTTGTAGTAACTGTATATGTTTATATATATATGTTTATTTCCATTTGAAATGTTAAAACTTGAACTATGGGTATTCAATATTTATTGCCATTTAGGTGGAATTAACATTCATTTATCTGTTTATTATTGTTATATTTTGCATTTTTTAAGATAAGATTTAACAATAATATCTTAGTCAAGACAAGATGTAATAAAACAGTCTGAATTAAGACATGTTGTAATAATACAGTCTTAGTAAAAAAGTAAAATAAAGTAATAAAATGGTCTTTAGCTCATATATACTGCCATAAAATTGTCTTAACTAAGATATGCTGTGCTGATGTATGTTGTAATAATATAGTTTCAGTTCATTCATGTAAAATTGTCTTAGTTAAGATATGCTGTGCTGATATATGTTGTAATAATAGAGTTTCATTTCATTTATGTAATAATAAGTCTTGGCTGATGGATATAATAACACAATCTTAGTTGACGATACAATTTTAGCTGAAGGATATTATAATAAAATTTGAGGTGATATATATTACACTCAACAATTTTAAATGCAGATTTATTTGATATATTTTGCAATAATAGATTACTCATTTCCATATGTTATAATGTAACACAGCTGTGTAACTTGTTGCTCAATGTGTTAAATCAAAGCAAAAACATTGATCCGTAGATTTACACTTTAACCTTTGACCTTAAGGTTAGCAGTAATACAGACCTCCTAATGTTTTACATCTGTTCACAAGCAATGCACCTCAAGATTTATAGTAACCATGGTGATGAAGACAAATGTACTCTATTTTCATTGGAGGATTAAATTTTGACAAAGTTTCAAATCTACAGTGATAAATATGAATCTGTGCGGTATGTTATTACAGATCTGTCTGGAGATTGGAACATGTGGAAGAACACATGTGTGTCTTAATGCGCTATGATTAGTACATAAAAATTACTTCACCACAGATTTACATATCTTTATTAAGCACATCAATTTCCTTTCTGACACCAGCTTAAACCAAAGAAATTTCATAGGCCCGTAGATAACCATTTTACTTACTAAAAAACTAAGACCTATATGCTGATAAAAAAAAATCCATATTTAATATGCAAAAGTATACGTTTATTCAGAGATGAAATATTTGAGATTAAATCTAGTCAAAACTGCACCAACTTTCATCTAGAATTGGTATGTTCCTATCACAGATATTCTTTTGTATGATATTTATTTTTGTATCAACTTTAAAAATCTTGGAGCTTTAAGGGATATCTACACAGGATCAGAAGACCTGTTTATACTAAGTGATATATAAGTAGAGGGACTGCTGTGTGGCTTTCTGATCCTATCCCAGTCCTCAAACAGTCAGAACCAGGTCAAACACAACTTCAAAGCAAGGACGGGCTATTTCTGATAAGTCTGTAGGATATTTCTTGTCAGAAATCAAAGTTAGTAACAACTTGAAAGCAAACATGAAGACTACCCAATCAATAATGGCTTTCACAATCCCTTGTAATTTGATTTGGGTACTTTTGATATATTTATAAATAAAAAAATTCTTAACCTAAATTTAAAATAACGACCGACAAAAACCAGGAAGGCTGTATTAGAGTAACTTCCCCTTTGGTGAGGTGTTATATACCTGATCTAAGTCAATTTGAGTTGTAGTTGCTAGATACTGTGTGAAGAGATATTAGGTTTCTGCACCTCAAGTCTGCATCACTTGCAATTTACTCCGATACCAATCAACACTACAACAACACAATACACTTTACATATCTATACATGTATTAGTATTGTTATAGGAGGAATTTCACTGAATTTTTCATCTAAATTTCAGCAAAGATAGAAACTTCTACAAAACTTCACAACTCTGAACTAAAACTCGGTTCCCACTGCACCATTACATTATGCAGAGTATCACTCATGTCTTCATAAAAATAAAATGTTTACTCTGCACACTGGTATCACAGAGAGCAGATTTAGGAAAAGGGTATCTCATTCTTGTGCACAGCCACAGACCTAGCAAAAACCGGAGTAACTGCAGCTACCAGTCACTGGGTTTCCCAAAAACAAACATAAAACTGTGGTACCTTAATCATTATGCAAGCATCAAACTGTGGGTGACAAGAAACTCCTATAAATAAGACGTCTAAACCATTGTACAGTCACTGAGTACACACTACAAAAATTTATATACTAACTCATATAAAATGCAAATTTCCAAAAAACTTCCTTTGAGGTTTATTTCACAATCAAAATACCAACCAACAATTAATCCGATAATAACGTCTTTCACCCTACCACGTGGGAGGTTAATAGCACAGAATGAAGGATCATATAATCAAGTGTGGACCTCGATGTTGGTCCATAATAATCAGCGTCATGAATCAATTTGATGAGAAAAATGACCTGTAAAAATGTTTACTGCCTTGCTGTGTCTATCTAGTATAGCATTACAAAGCCAACAAATTTATAGACAATTTATACATTAACAAACAAGCATTAACAGTTTCATTGACATATAATTATGTAAATGCAAAAGCATTGTTGGACTTAATGAATCAGAAGTTATAAAGTCATAAAATTGAATGTTTAAGATTTACCCCCAAGGCTTCACCACAAAGTGAATAACCCACTCAAATGTGACACACAGCAACTCAACCTTCCTAAAAGTCAATATTTACACATGCATTATAATGTATATTGAATGTCAGTTATAAGAGAATGGCAATGAGTTCACTTTGGCATGCTTAAATAACAGTATAATTACTGCTTTGTGACCTGGCCTTTTTTTATAGTCTAAGGTCTAGAAAGTACTCTGTGACTCAACATTTTTCCATTGAAAACGCTAACTGGATTCCTGCAGATCAAATCTATACCTCCCACTAACTTGCTAAGAAAGCAACATGCTAATCATGTACGGTGAAAGACACCAGGCACATACACATGTGATGGAGTAAACATTTGTCTATTGAAAATTCATCAGAAAATCAGAATATAGACATCAGAGAATGGTCTGGGTTGGGGTTAGAAGTTTGTGATAGCAACCAGTACAGGGTATTTATACTGCAAAGTCAATGTTAATGGGTCAGTAGGGTTATTTATATGAAGGTTGTACCAGAATTGGCCTGACATGTGTTCTGATGCATTGTGTTGATTTGAATGGTCAGTTACAATTATATAAACAGGAAATCAAAAAGTGCATGCCTGACTTGTCTCAAATAAATTCATGAGAAAACATCGGTAAAATTAGAATATGCAACAGACAACACCCAAGTTTGTATTACAATTAACATACAAGTATGCATGGCAACACACAAGCATGCATGACAACACACAAGCATGCACGACAACACACAATATGCATGACAGCACACAAGCATGCATGACAACACACAAACATGCATGGCAACACACAAGCATGCATGACAACACACAAGCATGCACGACAACACACAAGCATGCATGACAACACACAAGCATGTATGACAACACACAAATATGCATGACAACACACAAGCATACATGGCAACACACAAACATGCATGACAACACACAAATATGCAAAACAACAAAGAAGCATGCACGACAACACACAAACAAGCATGACAACACACAAACAAGCATGACAACACACAAACATGCATGACAACACACAATATGCACAACAACAAACAAGTATGCATAACAACACAAAAACATGCATGACAACACACAAACATACATGACAACACACAAACAAGCATGACAACACTCAAACATGCATGACAACACACAAACAAGCATGACAACACTCAAACATGCATGACAACACACAATATGCACGACAACAAACAAGCATGCATGACAACACACAAATATGCATGACAACAAACAAGCATGCATGAAAACACACAAATAAGCATGACAACAAACAGATGATTTGGATCAAGGCAGTCAGCCATATACTTGTCAAGGTCATCCATACAAAATCTGTATCATTCTCTTTAAACCTCAAACCTCGGGCTAATGGAAAATTCGTCTGTAAAGAGCCGCCTTGAAAATGTCAGACAGGCAGAAGTAAAACCATGTCACCTATTCATTAGTAAATTATCTCCAACAAACAAAACAAAAAATATGAAGAACTGTATAAGTGTATGTAGATGAACATGTCTGTCAATCCCTGTTTGAATTT